GATGGGGGGGAGGGGGGTGGGGGGTGGGGGCGGAGGGGTGGGGGAGCAGGGTGTGTCCATATTCATGGTGGAACATTACTCCGCTATCGAAACTAAAGAGCTAAAATTTTGCCATTGTGACAATGTGAGTGGAGTGGGGGGTTAAGGTAAGTGAAGTAAATCGGGAGTACGTAGGACGAACACTGCATGATTTTACTCATATGGGGAACCCAGAGAAGCAAGACAAAACTAAGCCCAAACCAACCCTGGACATATGACTGCAGAATAAAGGCTACTAGAGAGGAGTCGAGAGTGGGAAGAAGGGGGCCCTGGGCCAAGGGTACAGGACTGTGAGGCTTTGGTGATGGGTGCGGAGTTGTCACGGACATCCAAGGACATGTAAATCATACACGGTGCTAAAAACCAGCGTGACCGCAGCAATGAAAAGGCAACAGTCACCTAAGAGAGGCATGAGCAAATTGGCCAAGGTTTTCTACGACTCTGTTCCTCAGATCATTTACACATTCTCCAATTTCTCAGCATTTCAAAATCCTAGAGATGGGGCTTACGGATCTGAACTGTGACTAGCTGATGCTTCTAGGGAGTCTTCTAGACGAGGGACTCAGCCTGTGGAGAGAGGGCCTAAGTAGCAGCAGGATCATTCGCTGACAGCATTTCCCGATGGCACCAAAGACCCACAAGGGAAGAAACCTGACTGTTGGGCTTGCACACCGCAAGCTGGAAAGTCACTAGAGCCTGGCAGCCCGCACAGCCCACGTGCCCACGCCCGCCCTTCCACATGGAAACAGAGCGAAGCCAGCCGCAGGCATCAGCGAGCCATCCGTGGCCAGGGATGTTCCACCATCATTTGGATGAGCGGGATTATCAACAGCTTCCAGCTGACTAGTACGACCAGTTTTCTGTGGCAGCAATGAAAACTGTTGGCCTGAAAGCCTCTGGTGTTAAATGTGGCTTTGGAGGAAAGTCAGTTTGGCCATGGGGTCACTGCTGCTCGCATCAATAAGCCCAGTTTACTGGCTGCTAAGACATCTTGTCTGTCGTTCACCCACTCGTCAAATATTTACTGGGAGTCCTTTTAAAACTCCAACAAACACCGTGGAAGAAGAGAGAAGCAGAGGTCTGGGGCGGGATTTCCACCCAAATTTCACTCATCATCACACCTCGATGCAGAGGGGAGGCTTGGGTCAGCAGCCAGGGTCCAGGAATGTGGGTGGGCTGCAAGCCCAGTTGTAGGGCCTCCGCTTCTTCCATTAGATGACCGGGAAAAAAATGCTGGCTTTGTCTGTTTTTCAGAATTTACTAGTTCACGCAGGACCACTCATTGTAATCGACTGCATTTCAGAACTATTTTTTTTTTTTTTAGGAATTTGAGGGATATAGCAGGAAACAAGATTTGTCAGATGATTGATCTCAAGCAGGGCTTATTCTAATAAGTAGAGATGGAGGGATGGATGGATGGGGGATAGTTGGATGGATGGATAAATATATGATATATAGATAGGAAGATAATTGTAATAGCTAGCTAGCTAGCTGGATAGATAATGGATAGATGGATGGATGGATGGATGGATGGATGGATGGATGGATGGATGGATGGATGGATGGATGATGGAGGGGAGGAAGGATGGATGGAGAGACAGATAAACAGATGATAGATGAGATGATTTATAGATGATGGATCTATGCATATATGACAAAGTGGATATACAGAGATATATATGAAAATAAATAGATGCATAGCAATAGATTTTCAGAGGAAAGATATATATCTATATGTAGACATATAGATATACACATATATGTTTTGAAACTTAAATGAAAACCTTTTCCTTAAAAGGCAAGTTTTTTTAATCTCATATTACCAGTTGTAGGAGAAAAGTCAGTAAACTAATGAAAAACATTGATCTAAGTAACACACACAACACTTACATGAAAGATGTACTGTATTTCATTAATAATAAAAAAACACCCCTTTCTGACAGGAATTGTTGCTCGAATTAGAAAATATGCAGGTCCATGTCACGACACTCTCACCTACGCAACGGAATTGGTCAGTAAAGAATTTTCCTTTGTGCTAATATTTTCCTTCCTTCGGAACCCAGACATGCATGATAAGATGGGGTCTCTTGTTTGGAACAGCCTGTGGTGGAAAAATGCCCAGGAAACCGTGTCTGTAATCCCTTCTGTGAGTGTGGGCTGGACGTAGCGACGCACATCTAACAAGTTGTCTGTAGCAGCACCGAGGGGCTTTCTTTTCCAAGACTGACAAAGCTTGGCTCTTTAAAAAGGAGTTTGGTTTCCATTTGGACACAATTCTCGGTTGCTTACGGATTTCTTCCCTCCACCCTTCCCCTTCATTCCCTCACCCCCTTCAGCCCAGTCACCAAGAGGAGAGGCCTCTGAAACATGGGAGACCTGTAAGAAACAGCACAATCGGGGGGCTACTTATTCACCCCAGAAACAGCCAACACCACTGTCAACCAAGACACACCCACCACTTGGGTATAATCTTGAGACACCCAAGTCGGAATCACCCACCTCAGGGGGCCCCTATTTCCTGATCCAGAGTAACTACAAGATAGCAAATGTTTGCTGCTTTAAGCCGCTAAGGTTTGTATAATTAGTTACACAGCAATAGGTGATGAACACCCAACCCGGAGTCCCAACTCGACTGCACTATAATGAAAGCAAATAGGATCAGAACCTCCAGAATCCCTCATTTCTAATTTGAATATGTGAATTGTACTGAAGAATGTTTATGGATGTTCTTTATAGTAATATCCTAAAAATGGAGAATGAATTTGCCAATTGGATGTATTAATTTGTATTAATTTGCTTTTGCCTGAATTACTGAGCCCGCTGAAACAAACACAAATGCTTCCCATTCAAATTTCTTTGAAACTAATTCTAGCAATACTGTAGTTAGCCAGTAGAAAACGGTCGTCTCACCTCCAAAGAAGTACTTCTCTCCTGTTTTAACCTGAAGAGGACTGTTAGTTCGAACTGCTGAAGCCTCATCTCCATCGATGGTGAGAATAGCGAAATTCTCCTTTGCTAGGAAACGAACCTCGTGCCACTGCCCATCATTCAACCCAGAACCTGGAAGGACAGAAGAAAAGTCAATTATTTTTCTGACGACACTTAAAAGGCTTTTTATCATCAACAAGTTCAGAATAGCATGAGTCAAATTTACATGGTTTTCACCTAGGAAAATTCAGTGTCATCAGCCTGAGGACTCCTGTGTGCGGGGGTTGAGTCCACATCTCCCTTGGCTTGCGCAGTGGAAGCCATGACCCATTCAAGTAGAAAATAATACTTATGTGCTGTTTGGGTGCTTGGGGAAAAGGGTGGGTTGGAGGAAATGGGGAGATGAAGATAAAGTATTTTAATTCCATGATTACTCTCTCTGATTTGATTTGCTAGGTCCTGCTCTCAGATACGAAAATGAATTTATGGCTATTAGTTAGCATTTTTTAAAAAATTCTTTGTGACTGGATTAAAAAGATGTGGTCTGTGTACACAATGGAATCAGTGATCAAAAAAGATCAACTCATGCCTTCTGCAGCAGCATGGATGGGCCTGGAAGGGGTCATGCTCAGTGAAATAAGCCAGAAAGAAAAGGAAAATTACTGGGTGGTTTCACTCATAACAGAAGTATAAAGGGTCAGGGAGGGGAAAAATAATAACAATAATGAACAGCAATCTACCAGAGATATTTTACAGGGGTGGAGTGGAGAATGGGATCAAAAATGGGGTTGGGGAGGGAAGTGCCCTGGACTATGGTGATGGCACACAGGTGATTTGGTGATGGGTACCTCACAGGGATCACAACTGAAGTGGGAAAAGGCACAAAGTGATGTAAAAATAAACCATTATGTTATTAAAAAAAAAACTTTGTATTTGACAAGTTTTTTTTCCTCAAAAACTATATCTATATAGTTTGCAAAAACTAAGGACTAGAGAATGTGTGAATATATATAGTTTTGTGTGTTAATTAACCTCTAAGAAGCCATGAGAACAATAGCAGGACTATGTGCTTATTTGCAAATGCCATTGCTGGATAATGAAGTAGGCTCTATTTAACAAGTGAAAACCAACAACTCCTACCACCAGTGGTCACACTTCACTGTTGCCTAAGACAAAGCTCTCCAGACATAGGAATTCTTGGCATTCTCCATAAACAGGCACCATTTACAGCTCTGGCTGAGTTGGTGCTTATTTTACAAAGAGTAATGAGAAAACAGAAGTGAAAATGGAGGAGACATGCCATTGAACATAAATATCTGGTAAGAGCTTAAGAAGTATTCAAGCAAAATATCAGCTTAAGGGACAGAGAATTACAACATGGCGGAAGCAGCTGCTTCGGCGTGTGCAGGTTTCTGGTCTCTGCCTTCACAAGGAAAGGGATTTTGTTCTAGTTGACTCCAGACAGCAGGACCCATAGACAGAAGTGATTTGAAGACAAACTTCAACTTCACAAAGGAAATCAAAGTGTTGGAAAACAAACACTTCAATGAAATTGAATTCAAGTAAATCTATTGACCATTTTTGTTTATTGAAGTGCTTCTTCCTCAGGGCGGTTACTTCTGGGCTCTCCCGCGGAACGGACACAGAGAAAACTGTTCACAACATGTCATCAAAATACAAAACTGGATTCATGTTGGTTAACACAGAAGTACAAGGTTTGGGTTTTGGCTTTTTCCTTTCCAATGTGATGAACCCGGCATTGAAATTAAGTTTGGGGACATGGATCCTCCAGACATCAATGCTACCAAAGTTGAATTCCATGTTTTTCACCTAATGATCACACAGCCAGAGGAGGTTACTTACGAGATACTTCTGGTTGATAGATCTTTCTGTTCTAAATAGCAAACCAGAAACCATTTTTAAAATGTCTATGAAAATGTATTCCCTTGTTACAAAATTAATTTATAAATGAAAAAGCATCAGCTTAACAGTTCATGGCAAAAAAAAAAGTCTATTATTTCAATGAGATTAAAATAAAAGGGTTATTCTGTTTTTTGAGAAACTTAATTACTGGAGAAATTGGACCACAGATAAAAGCAGCCTTCCTGATAGCAGCCACTGCAACATCTGAGCTGAGTGTGATTTCTACTCATTTTAATTGCAAGTATTACTTGCAACTTGTAATGGTACTCATCAAGAAGTATGTCACAACAAACTACGGTGGGACCGGACCCCCAAATATAATGAGGTTCAGTGGAACAAATATGACCCTGTCACACAAAACAAAATACACTGCTCGTTTTAAGTGTTCTTCATCTGAGTGTAATAAAAAGCCTGCAGGCTCTCCCAGAGATTTAATCTCATGATCTTGTATAGGTGAACATTTACATATACACACTGCTCTAAACTGCATGCTGCTTGCTCTGCTAAGTGCATTACTTGCATCGACTCCCTTATATGTCAAAGGAAAGATCTGAAAAAGTACTATCCCCTATGATAGCAAGAGGTGAGGGAACTGGGTCTGATGACATTGAATCATCCCCTAGTCGGGAAATGGCAGAAGTGAGATCTGGAGCTCAGATATACAACTGGTAGGTACAGCAATGAGCAGACAAAAGAGACAACGCAACAAGAAACACAACATGTTATGTAGACGCCGCATGTGTGACCCGTGTTCTCGTGCACTCTGTGTGTGGCTGTGTGCACACACACAGGCACACGGCACACGTACAAAACACACACACACACACACACGTTTGCTACCAGGCCTGAAAAGGAGCCTGGTGTCTAGGATGATGTGCCTTTGTCTCATGCAGGACCAGTGTTGACAGGACACTGAGCTCCGGCCCTGTCCCATCTGTCACCTTCTGGCATTTGCACCAGTGGATTGTTGCTGCCCTGGAACATTCTACATACAACACACCTGTTAGCATTTTCTTTCATTGCTTTTTTTTAAAACTGTAAGTAAAATGGCAATTTTGTATTTTGAGTTTGAGAAGTACATTCTTATATCAATCCTCCCTCCCCCAAGGCACATTAAAATAAGCCCCTGAGAGTTCATTCACATTGAGCCTGTATTTGGTGATACTCTGAGCTAGGAAAACTCTATGTGTAGCCTTTTCATTATAATGAGTGCATGGGGGCCCGTGAGCTAGCTATTGTTAGTCTGTAAAGCTCAAACCCTAATCCGGGCCTTCTGACACTCAGGCAGTAGTTTCCCCCACTACTCAGACCTGAAACACCAAGTTGTATGATGAGGAAAGTGCCATAGTTCCAGTGTTCGTCTTCTCTACACTCAACCCTCCCCTGCCAGGAAGAGCCAGGTAACTCTGTATGAATTGCAGACAATAAAAATATGTGGCCTCTCCTACAAAGGGTCTTTGCAGTGTGTTTGGCTTTTATTGTTCCTGGGCCATCTGACACTTGGAGGAAAAAATACATAAACAGTTTTGCCCCAGAGAGGTTATGTTGAACAGCCTCTTAAGGCTTTTGTTTTAATTAAAAATATTGCTTGGTAATTTTTAATTTTATGAAGTGGAACATTAATGCGATTTAAGAGATTTTGGACTTCAATATCAAATTCATTCAGCACCACAATTGTTCTAACTTATTTATGGCCATTGTTTGACAAACACAGGGTAACTAAACAAATATTATATTTTCCTGCATCCCACGGAAAGCTGACATACGTCATGGTTAATTGAAACGGGTTCTTAATTGTCATATTGGGAAAACTGGGGATCATCTTATTTTTGGGGCCATGTTATAGTCAGTCACACATGTAACACTCCAAGTATCAGGCTGAAATAGGATGAAGATCCGGGGGCTTGATATACCTGCTCTCTGAGCGGAGGAAGAGCACAGAGGACAGAGCAGGACCTCGGGCCTTGAGTCATCAGGACACACATCTCACTCCTGCTCACCTAACAGGTAGCCCGTTGGCAAGCCAACCTCTTTGCACCTTAGGGCCTTGTCTGTCAAACAGCAGCGATGAAAGCATCTACTTGGTAGAATTGGTGTGATGACTAAGAATCTATATTTTCTAGAAACTATTTTTTTAGTTTGAAGTCAATAAATATTAGCTGTTGTTTCTTATTCAGGGATGTCTAAATATCAACTTGGGTTGATTAGTTTCACTAATTAATCAACTAAGAAGTGATTAAAAATTGGTTTTCTTCATGGACAAATATCTCCCTCCTGTTTATAAATTCAATTGTGAAATGTCAGTAGGGAGGAATTTGGGGATTTGTGAAGGTAACTGAATAGATTTCTCTGTTAATATCAGGGTCAGCTATTTTTAAAGCCAATTTTGAACTACACAGTAAAATCAGTCATATTCTTTCACAGTTACCCATCTACTTTCTCCTTCTCTGAAGGTGATATTTTCAACTATTTTATTCAATAGATGTGGTTCTAAATGTTTGTGACACATTTCTAAAACTTAATACAACTCCAAGCATGTATTTTCTATGGGGATTAACTCTGAGGAGACTAGTATAAGCAAGTATACATTTTTCTAAAATATTTTTGTTGAAAATCTATATACTGTTGCAACAATTCTGAAGCCTTTGATGATACTTTATAAAATGTATCTCTCATTATTCAATGACTCTTAATGTTAAAAATGCATTGACTCTGTACGACAAATGGAAAATGTTATCTTTGAACCCATATTTGAGCTCCTGATCGTACATTTTTCATAAGATAGCTAAATTACTTTATCTTTTCTCCAACATCTGCCTTATAATTGTTACAGAAACTTGTTTTGTATGGAAATGTGAAATGCTAAAGAAGCGTATCCATCCAGTCTTTCTTTCTACTGGTATTTTTATAAAAAAGGAATGTGTACCTCTCTGCAGATAGCCCATGTGCTATGAAAATTCTACACTGTAAAGAAATTGACCCAATTTAACCTTGCTTACTTCCACATGCCAATCCAAATCACCTTGGAAACAAGAGCAATTGCAAGTCAGACAGGACTTGTGGTAGGTGCATCGATAGGCAGAGAGGCTTTTTTTTTAAGTTGAAGAAACTGCCAGACACTTTTCTGTTTAGACACAAGAAAAACAAAATGACTTCAGGATATGTCTGAGCTCTGAGAGAGCCACGCAGATTTTAAATTGATAAGGAAA